GCTTTTGCCGGCGGAGGCCGACTTCCGAGGTTGCATGAGATGACTCGAGTTCCGACGTCTTCTCTCACACTCACCCTCACCCCACACCCTCTCTGACGAAATAAACCATGATTTTAGTTGATCGAAAGAGTTTGTTTGGTAATATTTAGCAACTGGTATTCCATTAGTAAGTGGCGTAGAAAATCCAATAAACGAATTTGTTTGTTGATCATAATTTATTTTTCGTATGACGGCAGTACAATCCTCTGAACCAAATGCATATTGAACATTGATTCGGTCAAAATATTCTTTTAATTTATCAAAACGAAATTGCCCTTCATTTATTTTCAGATCCGTATCAAATATTAATTTGTTTAATGTTTGTATACTTGGTAGAGCCGGAGACAAATTTATTCTTACAAATTCATAGGTCATTCGGCCACCCAATATATATAACAATAAAGCAAATTGTTCGATAGATTCAGGATAACGATATTGATTTGGTGATTTAGTTAAATTCTTTGTAATTGTAGCAATAAATGTTACTAAAAACGTTGGTTCTTTGTTTTCAACTTTTTCGATTTGTTCATACCAACGACATAAACATTTTAGCAAACAATTGTTATTGACCAAGTTGATGATTACCTGATCTTGTTGTTCTTCCTTTTTTGCATCTAATAGATTTTTTAATAGCAATAAGTTTGTTGTAATACCACTTTTTATGATAAAGTCGCCATTTTGTGTTTTAAAGCATACTTTATTGCGAAGATAATTTATGGAATCATGTGAAAACTGTGAGGACATCATGATAGGGGGTCCTAACAAAAAACATTTTCAATTAAATGGACGAGAAATCTTTTCAACTATCGGTAGATCATATGAAATTAATGGAAGTGAAAAGGGTTGAAATTGAATTAGACGTAAAAGTGAAAGCTGTAAGAGAGAAGAATGATGATTCTAGTACAATAATGGTACTAGACAGATAATACTAACCAACTTCAAAACCGTCAACAATATCAAACAGAAAAGATTGTATTCGATAATTAATGTAATTGAATTAATAATTGAATGCATCTTCTTTAGAGATACTTTCTCCAGTTGTCATTATGCATAGTAACAGAGGTAACATCAAATATTTTTATAATATATATATGTATATATATATATAACCTCCTTTTAAAAGCAAATTAATTAACGATGAATGAAAGCAAAATAGGAAAAATGACGAACTACTTTAACAAAACAAGCTAAGCACATCCTACGAAAAATAGAAATTAATTCATCAAAGAATAGTTTATGACTTATAAAAAGCAAGCAATCAAACATTAATGTATTAACAATATACTATGATGCTTTTTTAGTGAATATATATTTACCACAATGTCGAATCATACCACTATCACAAATTATATCGGTAGTAATTTAATCATGAAGAGATAGAAAAGAAATCATCGACCAGAAATGCTGTTCTTTCGGCGTTGCATAATAAAAAAGATTTTATGATTCGAGTAAGATCTTAAATAACATATCCTAACAAACATTTAATCAATAAAAGTTGACTTGTAAGCAACTGAAGATAATAAAGATTACGGTTATTTACAGAATTTCATTGTAATGTCAATTGTGTTTTCAAGGAAGTATGTTTATAGCAGGAAAGAATTTATTTTTCATGCTGAAAAGTTTCGTTTTTGAAGTGATTTGAGAGAAGCTACAGATGCGAAAACGAGTAATGAAAATAGTCTACAAAAATTCTCATAATTCTCAAACGTTTCCTATTTCTGGCGAATTATATTTAAATATATCAAATATGTTATTTGAATTCATAAGTGCTTGTGTAGAATCAATAAGCTGAATCTTTCAAATTTCGCATAACATTTCACCAGCTAATTGTTGTATACATTCAAAAAATTTATTTCCTTTCAATGTGAAAATGTCGTTTGGTAAGACAGATGTATCCCACATATTGTTCATTTTTGAAATCTAAAATGAAAACTGAAGCTAAGTTATTGTGCATGACATCAGGACAATATCTACTCTATTGCAATTCATACGAGAAAATATATGCTAAATGCTTTCATGTAAATTATCAAAGAAAATAAAAGTATTGCTAATATCAAGTGAAACAAAATTCAGACCTGATTACTTGTAGAAGTGATGACTGTTAGATCACTGAATCATCTTTTCGAAATTGTTCATTAAGCATCTGGTATTCTAGATGTTGCTATCATTCGGAAGAAAAAGAAACTATTAGCATATGTATGGATGAAGCGAGCTTGACTATCGATTGGTAAATTTTCTTCACCACTCTATATTGTCTTTTCTTTTTCGACGATCGATCAATTGTTTTCAATCAATAAAATATAACTGGTGTACAAATCGAACGAATTCGTTTCTAATATCTGTTTATGTCGACTCAGAATCTCTTTTACGATTCCAATGATTTACCATCAAACGTATTAACTTTAATTGATGATAAGTTTTATGATTTTGTGGAACAACATTTAGGAATGTATCAATCATTATTATTGAAAATACAACAAATTAATTCAGTTTCATGTTTTTTATTAACTGACGATCCATGTCACATTTTAAGCTTAAGCATCAACGACAATGAACTATATGAGTTAAAAAAACATATATGTTTTCAATTATCGGATGGTTCATTTTTTGTCAAACCTGGTGTTAAAATTGGATTCAAATGTTTGCATGATTTGCTGACAAAAGAAGTTGAAGAAAAATTAAAAAAGTCAAAGAATACAAAAGTACAAGTAAGCACAACCGCTCCATTCAACATTTTATCATCATCATTTTTAACACCACCACTAACAACAATATCAACAGAAACAATTCCCGCAGCTTCGCAGAATACGCATTCATCACTTAAAGAACCGTCATCAACATCAATTAATGAACATAAGAAGTATTTTCTGAATTTGTTGAAACAATGGTGTGTGACTCATAAAGATCATTTTCAGCTTGAATCGTTTGATTTAAAGGATGGAAAAGATTTTTTTTTTGAATGTTGCATTTAATGAAAGAAATGCACTTAAAGCAAGTGTAAAATGTAACTGTGGTCGAATAATAACCTTAACTGTAAAAAATGGAAATATTCAGCTCTCTAATTTTCAAAAGCACTTGCGTATGACGAACTGTAGTCATATGAATTTTTTAAAAAGAAATTTTACAACACAAAAAAAAACAAATCTTCAACAATCATCAAGCAGCTCGTCATCGTCGATTGATGCCTCATTAACACCATCTAAACCAACACAACAACAATCTGTTTTACAAGTTCCTGTTTTTGTTTCAACTGATGCATCATCAATAGTATCTGCGCGTTCGTCGAATATAGATACAACTGTGCCACAAACAGACTCTCGAAAACGTGATCTTGAATTAAAACCATCGTCATCTCAAAAGATAAAGCGAACTCGGATTTGAATATTTTTTTGGTATATTTTCGAAACAACTATTGTTATTGTCGATGCGTCGTTGGTTAATTTTATTAAACAGTCTTTTGTATATTAATACACTTTTTTTTATTGAAATAATTTATGAACATCATTCTTCTTTTTTCTTGGTTATAATTTTTTTATTTGAGATCTATATATCGTACATAATTTACAGAAGAAGGATCAAATCATTATCGTAAAGAAGTGTAATACGTTTAAATCTTCTTTCATTTATGATTCATTTTATTCTTTGTTTTATTTTGTTTTTCGATCTGTATAATTGTTATTTCTTTGTGTTAGAAGTGTTATTTAAGCAAAGCTAATAAAATTTCAAGTGTGTTAATATAAATAAGTTTTTTTTTTAACAAAATTTTGAAACTTAATGAAATATAGATTTTCAGATAAATGAAACAAATCAATATTTACTTTTCGTAGAAAAATTCGATAAAAATATTTTCACTTGTCAACATTTCTCTCTATTATTTCTGATATTTACACAAACACATTTTTCAATTTATATGTTTTTCTTGATGTGGCTGTCGTGATAGTTTCTAAAATAACATTATTTATACATTACTGTGGCCCTTCTACGTCAGTAGCACTGGTCCGAAAATAGAATATATTATTTCCAAAAACTGTGCATATACAAATAAAATTGAATTGTTGAGTATTTATTTTTGAATACAATAGGTTTGAATGTTTCAACTACTAGTACTGATAAAGAAGGACAAAAGTAATATATTGACAATTTTATTTTAGAAACTATCACGACAGCCACAGAAAGAAAAACATATAAATTCAAAAATGTATTTTTGTAAATATCAGAAATAACAGAGAAAAATGTTGAAAAGTGAAAACATTTTTATCGAATTTTTCTGCGCAAAGTAAATATTGAATTGTTTTATTTATCTGAAAACCTATATTTCATTAAGTTTAAAACTACCAATGAAATTTCTTGAAGTTGAGACAGTACTTATGTAAACTGAAAAGAAGAACGAAATTCAATTAAATGCAGAAGTACGAAGAAGTACCAAAAAGTACCGAGAAGTACGAAGAAGTACCGAAGAAGTACCAAGAAGTACAGAAGTACGCTTTTTCCCCCTTGAAGAAATATCTACTTTAGATTTTCTGGAAAGTCATAACAAGCAACTATGTGATATTCTGAATATTTTAACAACAAATTCTCGGTTTAAAGTTTGTTAATCATTAGATATCAATAAATTTTATTACTGTTAATTCAAAAGAAATATGACTTAAATAAGTTGCAAGAAAGAACTTTTTTAATCTTTTTTTCTTTTGTTTTTCTTAAATCTCAATAATGAACAAATTGTACCAACTGGAAAATTTAACCATTCTTTTCTACCAATGCTTTTTCGATTTGATAGTTCATCATCAGGAAGACGTTCTTTACCACGTGCACCTCTATTAATAACATCAATTAAAGAAATAGCCATACCTTGTGAAATGATGAGTGTTATTAATTGTATAGAACTTAAGCGTGATGATTTAGTATCAAAAATTACTGCAAATGGTGTAATATGAAACCATTGTGCATGCTCAAGATCTAATACAGTAAAAATAATATTAAATATAATGCCAACTATAATATAAGTTAATATCGATAGATAATATGCTCTTGTTCCTTGATTTTCTCTAACAGCAGCTAAATATTGTACATTTTTAGAGGCATATAATAACAAATAACGTCGTATAGTAGTCCATATATTTAGTACTGAAACAATAATACAAACACATGATAAACATATTATATATAATTTTTGCATAATATACATATATTTTAATGATACTGATGTATTAAATACACTCGTAAGATCAGTAATTACTATCATCCAACAAAACCAAACAATACCTTGAATCATGAATGTACTCAATAAACGTAGAACACTAATAATATAATTTGTTCTCCTATTCGTACCATAAGCATCACTGATTGTAACACCTGTATCTATTACTCTCGAATCATGTACAACTGATATATTTCCTGTAATTAATGTGACATATGCTGCATGAGTATCTAATAATATACGATCATAAGGTCGTTCAATTTTAAATAAAGTTTTTAATATCCAAACAGACTTTTGTATAGGTTCAATTAAAAACATCATAGGAGCAATGATAAACATTTGAAAACAAGCTAATGTTATACCAAATATAATACCTTTAATATAATTATTTAATGTTAAATAATCATATACTTTAGATTTCTTAACATGAGAATATTCCTTATGATGTACATATTTTATTACAATATTAAATTGTGTTATCTTCCAATCAAATATATAACGTATTATACCAGGAATATTATCGAATAAACCACGAAAATAACTATAATAAATTTTATTATGACAATCAACAACAAGATTACAAACTGCTGATGTAAATTGTGCGATAATTAAACAATTCTGTTGTTTAATACATGATATACCATCGAATTGTTTATCTTGTATATCAATAGCAAGTGTCTTTAAATCTGAAATTAATAAGTCTTGAATTTTTGATTGATAATGAAATTTTTGAATAAGATTCCATGGATAATGTTTATATTTAAATAATTTAGATGATTTATTTAATGTTAATCTACGATATTCCCAAAATGTTTTCAATTGTGAATCGGTTGGAAATATACCTAATGCAAAATATTCACTTATTTTAGCACGATCATTTGAATTCATTTCATTAAATGGATATTTATATTTACGAATAGATAATAAAAATTCTTGCACTATTAATCCTAATTTTTTTATCTGTTCACCATTATCAAAATCCATTCGATTCCATTGATTTGCACCTAAATCTATAATAGTATTTAATAAACGATATAAATATTTACTACTTCGATAAATAATTCTTCCATGATGAACCTGTTTGTTCGAATAATTTTTAATATCTTTTAAGAAATTTCCATATTGTTCATTCAATGATTGATATAATTGATTATTTGTTAGAAGATTTGTACGTAATGTTTTATCTTTAACATATGAAACATCAGCATGATTGTTATATTGTTCTACATTGACATAATATAATGAACCTTCTGCAACACATGCATCATTTGCAAAATAGATGGCTTTGGAAAACTTATGCCGCATAGAGACAGTAAGTGAATCGATATATAACATTTCATTTGGAGGCATTCGAAGTATTGGATGTAAAAATGAATCATCATATAGATCTTTTCTTTTTCGAATCTCTCGTTCAAGATTACGAGCTTGACGAAGATATGAAATAAATAAGATATTACTATGTTCCATTAAAGCAGGTTTCATTTCATGATGAATTTTATTCCATAAAATTTCAAATTTTGTTGTATCATATCGACATGTTGTGACCGTTGGTAGAATATTTGTAATTTCATTTAATACAGAAAGAATTAATTCATTTGGTTTTGATATCTGTGTAAGTAATTTTTTTGTATATTTCCAATATATTTTATCAGCATTATGAAAAAATTCTTTTAATGATGGATCAGAATCATTTTTTGTTATTGTTTTCATATAATCTTGCCATTCTTTTCCAGTCATACATTTTCGTAATTTAATTATTGACACTTTATTTTGTTTGTAATCATTGACTTCAGTGAAGAAATAATACGGATAATCACAACCTATAGTCATAAATATACCTAATCCAGTTCCTTGTACATTAAATGTAGGTTCGATTCTATTCAAATGTCTCGGATATAGATTTGTATCAAATACAATACCACATGGTAAACACCAATGTGTAGAAAAAAATTCATTGAATATCACACATGCATCTATATCAGCATCACTACCATCTGTTGAACCTAATCGAATATCATAATCTGATTCAGGATCTTTACTACCCGAATCATTTTGAATAATTAATTGATATGGAAATAAATCCATTAACTGTTGTAATAAATCATCAATATAAAATTTACGATACATACAAAGTTTTAGCATAAATTTAGTTATATTATTTAGTGTTAATTGCTTTACAGTATCGATTATATATTGGGAAATATCATTGGAAATGATATCGGTATGTAAATCATCAGCAAAGAGTTCTACTAGATTATCCCAGTTTCTTATTTCATGTATTATTTCACTACATGTATATTTACTAGTAAAAATAATATTATTATGTTCATCCAAAAGAATAATAGAATCGTTTTCGATCTTTGGTATGCGAAGTTTAGTGATGGTATTTTCAAATAAATTTCGCTCTAAGCTTTGTATTTCTTCATTTTTTGTCGATGTGCATCCAGTGTTAATCATTCTATCGATGCTCAATGTAATAACATTATCTTTAATCTTATCTTCCTTCAGCCAGTCAACAAGCACTAGACGATTTTGAGATTGAGATAATTGTTGATGAAAATCTTGAGATGAAAGAAGACAACGGACACAGCCCGCCATCTCAATCGACATAACTCCAATTGTCTAATGAATAATTGACAAAAAAAACCAAGGAAATTTATTTAATTTTATATTCACTCACCATTGAGAGATTATTTTCTATACATTGATAAATGATATCGCCTGATGTGAGATTGTAATTTTCTAACAAAAACATGGCGATTTGTTGTGCATGAAAAATAAGTTCGTTATAAGTGAGAGATTGTCTGCCGAATTCGACAACTACTTTTTGAAGATAAGTATTCAATTGTTCATTATTAATTCTATTCATTGTTCCGAATTTGATTAAGACAATGTACAGAACATATCCAGTGAAATTGCTGCTGTTATATAAAAAACAAAGCGGATATATTAATGAAAACCTTCAAATTTATACAAAATTGCAATATTATAGATTACAAATCATAAAGTAATCTTCTGTTTTCTATATTCGATTGTGAAAAAGTAATCATGTATTCTTTTATCGTATTACTTAAACTATATTATTTATTAACAAATAATGCTCTTTTAATAATACAATATGACGATATTTCGATCGTATAATAATACCACGTGTGTACATAGACATAATAAATTTGAATAATGT